TTTTAACTGATTATAATATACATAAGTGTTGTAGCTATAAAAAAAAATAGAAAAATAAAATATTTCGAAATAAAAATAATAATCTCAAAATATCAAAATATTGGGTTTCAATGGCGACTCCGGGTAGGAATACTGTCAAAGTTTTCGTGTACATAGGAGGCCAGATTGTTTTTCTTCAAAACATTTAATTACTTAGATTTTTTTCTAAAATTTTCTAAATAAAACCTTTTATTTTTGTCATTTTGAATTTCTTTTTTTTTTCTTAAATGTCTTCCGGCAGTTCAAATTCTCAACAACAATATGATTTTAAACCTTATCTTTATTATTATCTTTAGTTTAATATATAATAATATATCACAGGTGGACCAACCATGTCAGCTTCATTGAGACTGGTGCACATGTTCTTCGTATTTTTAGGATGATGTTGGATCAGATGCTCCCAGATCAGTTTATATGGATGCCATATGATATGGATGATCCGGAGTATCAGGCTGTAGGTGGTGATTCAGATATCATATGTTCAGGTATATGGGTATCGAGAGTCCCCCTGATATGCTACGCAATTGTGGAGATGCATCGACCAGACAGAGTAGTACGTCAGTTCGGGATGGTACAACTCATACCCGAACCTCCTGAAAATACTGAGACGGATTTCCGGATGCACGTCAATGCTAACCGTACAGGTGCTACCAACCGAGACTGGAGTCTTACACATGTTTCGCATGTTACCGCTTGGGATAATATGCTCAATTATATTATTGATTATCCATATGCCAGTGACAGTCAGACTACAGAAGATGGTTATTTTGAGTGGTATGAACTGCACACACGTCGTTTCATATCACCGATTACCCCATCTGATCGTACAGGATTTCAGGTTGGAGGTCAGATTTCAATGGATACAGTGGTACGTATTCAAATTTATTTATTATAAAATTTTGTGTATTATATAATTTTTATTAATGTATGTCTTCTAAAAATAAAATATTTCTTATTACTTATTTCAGATTCAGCATCTTCGATCGTTGATTGTTTCTGTTGATGGCGGAGACATGCCCCGGGATGGCTATCGTTCGTATTTACCGACTCTCAGAACATGTCTTAATGTCTTAGAGTCTCGACACGGACCTTCAGATAGGCCTCAATCTGAGATGCCTTATACTCAGACTCACCCTCAGACTCAGACTCAGATACCACAGTCTCAAATGCCTCAGTCACAGACTCAGATGTACGCTGGCGAGGCAGGAACTTCTTCTCGTGCATATTATCCGGCATTCGATAATTATACAGATCCTAGATCACACGGGCATCCATCTGGTATGTTTAGTACCTTTGATTTTATTTTTAATACTATCTATAACTGTGAGTATAATATAATCTCGTTGATGCAGATCCGGACACCCCATACCCCTACTTTAATCCGAATATGAATTCGGAAGACCCAGTTCATTTGGGGTCTACGCATCAGTTTTCGTCTTCGCGACCGGTAGATCATCAGATCACACCTATTCCTTATTCTCAATCCGCAAATTCTTCGAGTGATGAGGATGAACAAGTTGGTAGAGGGCACAGGACTAGAAGGCCCCCGAGATGTGGCACCGGAGGTCACCGTCATTGGTGATATTATTATTGTAGTTTATGTTGGTTATTTATTAAAACTTTTTAGTATTTTAGTTATTCAATAAAAAACAAATTAAATAGACTAAAGGATTTAGAGACAAAAAATATTTCCCAATAATTAGGCATTTTATTTTTATTTAATAAAATATGGAAATCGGACGGAATGGATCGGAAATGCTTTTTTTGGAAATTTTCCAATTTTTTCGGAAGTTAAAAATAGGTTCCAATTTACGTTCCAAAAAAATCGGAATTTCAAAATCCATTCCAATTTCGGAATACCTCGGAATCGACGGAATTTCGGAATTTTCGGAAATTACATTAATTCTTAATGTTTTGTTCCAAAATCGGAAATAATGGTAATTTTTAGTATTGTTTTTTAATATTTTCATAATTTTCCGGCTAAAGGCAAGAATCCAAAGCAAAGTTCAATCAAATAAAATTTAAACACGTGTAAAAACAACATAATTGATTTATCAAAGCAACTATAATTCTTGCAAAACATCAATAGAAAAATAATTCAAAAATACAATATATATATATATATATATATATATTTCCAACATAATTCAAACATGATTATTTCAGAAATACAATCGGATCGGAAATCGGAATTTCCAATAATTTTATATGTAATTCCAATTCCGTTCCAAAAATAATCGGAAAAATCGGAAATCGGAATATCGGAAATTGGAATGAAAAAAAATGTTCCAAATTCGTATTATTTTATAGTGAATTATAAAATAAATTGCATAAATAAATGAAGGAAAATTTTTAAAATACAATATATAATTAATTTAAAATTAAAATTCAATTAAGTATTCCAATTTAACAATAAAAAGAATTAAGTAAATTTAAAAAACCTTAGCTCAAATCCAGCCGTTGATATAAACACAATCCAACGGCTGGTAAAAGGCGTCATATTAAATGACGCTGTAATCCAGTGTGGCGGGTCAAAGGGCGTCGTTTTGAATGACGCCTTTTAACGGCCGTCCGATTGCCCAGATTAATCTCTGGCCGTCAGATTAGGAGGACAAGATAGGAGATCCGGCCGTCAATCTCAGCTCAATCCAACGGCCGTTAAAGCGCGTCGTTTTAAACGACGCTTTATTGTATTTTTGTAAATAATTACAAAATCACCCCAATTCTCAAAAAAAAAAACCGAAATATTGTAAAAAAAAAATTGCCCGGATTTTCGATATATGCCCAACCATTACACTAATAAAAAATGTTCAACCTCATTTTTCTCATTTGAGAAAAGTTACACACTTTGAGTGGTTCTAATACAATATTTATCTTCATCCTAGATGCCAACAATTATTTTTTTTCTCACTAACGACTGCCGCCGCTGCACCATCATCTGGACATTAAATAACTCCACTGCTCTGGATATAAAAAACCTCTATCGCCGTCGAGGAGTCCAACAAACACCTCCATCACCGTCGATGCACCATCGTCTGGACATCAAACACCTACACTGTTGGTATTGAAATAACCCTTCTCTCATAAACCGGCAACTTCATCCTCTATGTCCCCGACCAACATATCTCGTGGTTGAGTTTCTTCCATCCCGTCCGATACACTCCAGTTTTTCTGTCGTCGATTTTAATATTGTTATGTGACAATTTACTTAATCGACTTATAGTCTCGATTAATAAATCAACCATGTTTCTTTATAATTGATTTATGATTTTTAGGCTAATATACACTTTAATATTTTAATCAAATATATTCGATTGATAAATCAAATATCCAAACAACGTAGTCGCTTTACATCCAATTTAATCCATAATTTTGCAAAAAAAAAAAACATAAGGTAATCTAGAATTTCGCGAAAAAACATAATTGAGTGAGTTATCACTAATTACGTACAAAGAGTGAACCTACCTCAGTGGAATTTCAAAACGGAGTGTTTTCACTAATTTTTCCTAATTATTAAAGTGATTTTAAACAAAAACTATTGTTGGCTATGTATTTGTAAAATTATAAGATAAACAACTTATTTCAAGAAAAACGAAAACACGCGTTGCATTTGCAAATGTCGGATATAAATTATGAGCCGAAAGAAATCATAATTTATTTTCAAAACTTTTGCATACACCACCGCCACTTCACTTTGTGAAGGTAGTTTCAGTCAATTTGTAAACAATCGCCCTCCAAAATAATTTCTTCGCCACATTGGCAAAGTAGACGTTCCAATAATTGCTGACGATTTTGTAAAACATATACCTGGTAAAATACACTATGTAATTTTGCGCTATTAATCTACACGTTCCAATAGTTGCTCACATGATAGCTATATATCTAACTTCAAAATCATTTAATCTATATAAAAGAAAAAATATTTATATATAAATATCTTTAATTGATTGACACTCTGGTCCAAACTACAATAGTCCATAATGAACCAGCAAAAAAACAAACAGCAAAAAAGAAGGTAGACATTTAAAATTACTACTACTCTTTGATATATATACTCTATTTATAAATATTTTTAGCACCACTTTTCTTCTCAGCTACTACATAGTAGGCAAGCAACAACACTTGAAGATTAATAATAAGAAAAACAAAAACAAAAAAACCAAAAAATTAAAAAAACAATTGCATAAAAACTAAATACACTTTCCATAATACCCTTTTACTAGATCAGAGTAATTAGAAGTTCAATCCATCGATCTTTTTCACGAGGAAAAAAATATCCCCGATTTTTTTTTATAGATAATTACGGATTACTCCATAACTAGTTCCATATGTCGACTTAAGTCCTTAAGGTACGTGGTAGAAGTGTAGTCCTCCAAGTCACACGAGTCCCAAAGCAACGCTCTCATTCCCATCGACTTTTGCTTCATGTCTACTGCTTCATGCTCACCTCTTAACACCTGAACAACCTGCACACGCAAAAAATTAAAATTTAAAATAAATCATGTATATATTACTATTATTATTTTTTGTTTTTTTATTTTTATTTTTTTGCATTGAATATTATGAAGATTATATATAATATATAAAGGGGGTATTCGTTTAGTACTCGAGTCATGTTCGGCCGCATGTTGGGTAAGTGGTGTATGCATATCGAAGCTGCAAACATTGCACGTTTCATTTCTATAACTTCGTAATCTTCTCCTAACTTAGGATCCGCTATTTCTTTGACGTTGTTCTTCTCCAGAAGTGGTTTTGCCTATGAATCACGGGTCAAAAATTATATGTTAGAACTCCATATATATAAAGGTCCCCGTGTTATAAATAGTAGGAAAAAAAACCTCAAATGGTGAATTTTTAGGGGGTTGTTTGCTAATAAAATTGAATTATAGGGGTGGCTTGGCTAATATTTATAACACGGGGACTTTTTTGTAAAATAAATACATGGGTGCTAAATGCAATAAACACAAGATATATATGTGAGGCGAAAATATAGAATGTTGTATTGATCCGGACGCTTAATCGGCCGACGGGTAGTCAAGCCGATTATGAGTTGGATTTTACCCAATTCATTTTGGTTTTTTTCGGTTTTCTAACTATCCATGATCTCGTGACAGTTGAAGATCAACGGTCAAGATTAAATAACTGTAACCGACCTTTTAATTTGTATACGAATGAAAAAAAAACATTAAAGAATTACGAGCGAAAAAATCATACCCACATCACAAGGCTTTGTCGGCTAGAATCAACTGCTCGACGACCCGTTATAAGCTCAAGCAAGAGAACTCCAAAGGCAAACACGTCGGTCTTCTCGTGAACTACACCGTGCATGAAATATTCCGGAGCCATGTACCTATTTTTCGATTAAAAAAAAACGTAAAATTAAAATTAAAAAAAAACGATGAAGGCAACACGAAACTACAAAAAGACGATATTATTACCCAAAAGTGCCTTCAATTGGAGAAACGACATGGTGCAACCATTTCTCCGGTAGCCATTTTGCTAGTCCGAAATCGGATATCTGCACAACATATAAAAAAAAATTCAATATAAAATAAACGAGACAACGTTTTATTCTAGTTAAGATAATATGAAAAAATTAAAAGAACCTGAGGTTGATAATCTTCGCAGAGTAATATATTCGAGGCCGTTATATCTCTATGTATTATACGTCTTTGGCAGTCGCAATGCAGATATTGCAACCCTTCGGCAATACCTATAGCCACCTTATACCTTATTTTCCATTCCAAATTCTCGTCGGAACCTGAAATATCGAACGTATTATTATGTTAGCTAAGAGAAACCACATTATTCGAAACGGAGTAGTTTCATTATATTATTTTCCATTTTTTTTTGTCCAATTTCCCTCGATGGCAAAATTTATTAAGTTTATTGCATTTAGTACCCCCTATGTTATACTGAATTGCTGAAAAACTCCTCATGTTATAAATATTAGCATAAAAAACCCCTATAATGCAATTGTTTTAGCACACAACCCCTAAATGGTGCATTTTGTTAGGGGGTAGTTTGCTAATAAAACTGAATCATAGGATTTTGTTTTGTTAATATTTATAACACATGAAGTTTTTCAGCAGTTCGATGTAACACATGGGTACTAAATGAAAATAAACCCAAAATATATTTGAAAAACATTGGTGAATTCGGTCGTTTACCAAAAAAAAAACCTACGACGCATTTTATGGGACACCCTAAATGGTGAGCATTTGTAGGGGGTAGTTTGCTAATAAAATTGAAATCACGGGTATTTTTTTCAAATATTTATAACACGAAGAGTTTTTTAGAAATTTGGTATAACAAAGGATACTAAATGCAATAAACCGAAAATTTAACTCCCTATTCGCATTTTATCTAGAGTCATTTGAAATCCTTCCCGTTTAAAATCATTTTAAAGCCATTCATTTCAAACCCTTCAATCAGAACGAATATTTATAAATTCGCAGATAAAATTTAGCAAAAATTTGCGAAAATATCACCATGTAATACGGTGGCGAGGCTTCCGTGTGGAGAGAACTTGAGAACAAGGTGCAAACCACGATCGGCACTAAAGCCGATTAATTTGGCAGTATTTGGATGGTCGATGTGAGCTATGATTCCAAGTTCGGACAAGAAGTCGCCAACTTTATCTTCGTCGTTCTTTTGTTGTTTGATTATTTTCTTCACGGCTACAACTTGGCCGTCTGGTAAGAGCCCTTTGTACACTTCAGCATGCCCCCCTTTCCCAATTAACTTCTCTGTTTCAAAAACAAAAATATTGATTCAGGCATTTTATCAAACAGTTGGCCTACAACTCATAAAAGAAGAAAACTTGAAATGTTTGTTCTTGTTGTTACAAACATGGTCAATTTTATCGAACTCATGATTCTTCAAGTTTGTTTTGATTTTAATTCAATTTTGAAAATTTCAATTTGACCTCGATTCGATTGTCAATCGAGTCAAGGTCTAACGAACTTTAATCGAACCGAACACAAATTGAGCTCGAGTAATTTAATTTAATTGTTGTTACTCATATATTATTATTTTGGGCAAATTACGGCCACCCCTGATATAAGGTCAAATTACGAAAAAAAACCCTTATGTTTGGGTAATTACAACCACCCCTCCTGTTAAATATTTTAGTAAAATATCTACACCTCGGTCATTTATCGAACCAAATCGTATAATTCGGTTCGATAAACGGCACGAAATGTTGACGCACCAAAAATTTCGGTACAATTTTACTAAATGAACACCCTTAAATTTACCTCTAGAGGAATTGTATCATAAGAAAATTTCATAGTTGAAAAGTTGCTGCAATCATCCAAACATTATAAGTTTTTTTTCTCGTAATTTGACCTTATCTCATAGGATGGCCGTAATTTACCATATTATTTTTGTCACAGGGGCTAAAATAGTAATTTAAATAAAATTCAATAATATAAATGAATTACCAGGGCTAAAATCGTCAGTAGCTTGCTTAAGCTCCTCATAAGTGAAGTTCCTCCAAGAAGGCTTAGGCACAACAAACTCCCCACAATCGATAGCGTCGGCGGCGCTGTGATTCCGGCCAAGCGGCCGCCGGAAAGCCTTCTTGGACAGATCGTAACCGTATCCTGCGAGCAAAGGAATAGTCGAGAATTTCATGGGAGTCTTTTTCTTCATCTGGCCGAACATTTTCTTCCATTGCAGCGCCGTGCCGTAGCTCATATCCCATGCCATCGCAACCCCACTCTCAGCCGCCGTCGATTTCTCGCTCCCGAAACTTCCGCTCCGGTCAATAGCACTGCTGCCCTGATCCGAATCCGAGCCCGAGCCCGAACCCGTAATGGGTATCTCCAGAACGCCCCTGGGAGAGGATTCATCGTCGGTTTCTTGATTTTTCGTCTCGTTCGTGTCGGAAGATTCCTCGTATTTGTTTCGGATTAAGGAATCTTCTGTGGTTTGTTGATGATTCTCTTTTGCAGCATCTTCTTTGAGATGTTTCTCTTTGTTACTCTGGATTTCTGTTTCCAAAATTTCTTATAGTTAGCAGCAATTCTTTTATAGGGATAATTGCAGTTTCCAACTGCTCAAGTTTGCACATATTTCACATTTGGTCCCCATTTTTATCAAAACACACATTTGGTCTTTATTGTTTCAATAATCTAACATTTTTTGTCATTTCTGTATGACGAGAACAGGCTTTATTCCCTTTAATTTTAATGGAAAATTGACTAAAAATGTGAATTTTTGAAACACGAGGGATTAAATGTTTTTTTAGTGAACATGATGGACTAAATGTGTAATCAGTGCAAACTTGAGGGACGAAAACATAAACATATATAAATATGTGTGTGTGTGTGTGTGTGTTGGAGGTGTTAAAATGTCTTAAAAAATATAGCAGGAATCCTTAAAACTATAGACATATGTATGGGTGTTTTTTGTGTGTGTGTGTGTGTGTGTGTGTGTGAGAGAGAGAGAGAGAGAGAGAGAGAGAGAGAGAGAGAGAGAGAGAGAGAGAGAGAGAGAGAGAGAGAGTTACCTTGCATGATTGCAGCGGAGAATCAAAAAACGATTACGAGAAATTCTGAAAGGAAAGTATTTGAAGAGTTTATTTTTGAGCAAATTCCATTTCGATCTCTCTCCTGTCCTGCAAGAACAGAGGAGAGAGAGAGATCTAGAGAGAGAGAGATGAAGAAGTGGTATATCTTGTGAAGGTTGATATTCTTTGAAGAGAGAAGAGGGAAAATTTAAAGGGAGCACGTACGTAGCTTAATTTGTGGTGAAATAAAGGGAATAAATGCTATATTTATACACCACCCTTTTGATTTATCTAATAATTTCGATTAGTATTAATTAATGTGTAATTAGTGTAATTATTACAGGATGTGAAAGAGTGTTATTATGGCACAACAATTTAGTGTTAATAAAGAAAGTGGTATTGCCCAAATATTGGTAATGAAAATGTTGGGCGTGAATGAATTTGGTTCGTGATTCTTGGCGCAACTGCCGCTTGTACCGTGAGGTATAACTAACCCAACTGATGGATGAGAGTTTTGGTTATACTTTTGTGGGGCAAAGTGCTTTTTTTTTTTCAAGGGTATTTTAGTAAATTATGATTATTTTTTACTTCCCACTTTTTACAGAATTGTTCTTTTGTAAGTGCACAAATCGTTGATCGTTTGCAAATTATATGGTAATTAGAGATTTGTTCGACCCTACACCCGGTGAAAAACACCGGGTGTAGGATCGAGGGAGCCGTAATTAGATGCTACGGTTGGTTATCTATATTGAGTGATTTCAGCTGTAATTCTACATACAGTCCCACATTTATGTGTATATGTGATTAGTGGTGTTATTTAATCAGATTTATGGTTAAAATTCATTCGAAGTAATAATCATGTGTAGTATTTAACTCCCCTAAATTTTACTCTTACGTTTCGTTTTGTTATATATGTTGAATTAGATGAGACTGAATTAGTTATGTACTGAATAATTAATTATTCGGTTAGTAGCATGTTCGGTTTCTTATATTAGATATTATTAAATTTGTTAAATTCAGTATTGCATATAAATTGTGTACAAAGTCACTTAATTTACAATAATAAGACGTGATTTAAAGGATAAATTTGTCTCTCTTTTTTTCCTATTTAGTCTCCCCGTGCAAAATTAATCGGAGGAGGGGTCCCATGTGGTGTTGTTTGCTACTAATTTAATGAAATAGTAATATTTAATTGTAGGCTTCAACTTTAATAGCGAGTTTTTGAATAAAATACGAATCTTGTCAACTGAACATCTTACTAACTCCTATTATTTAGTCGGTAGAATCTAGTAGTTGTAACCGAACAAAGAACAACTAAGAGAGGATTGGTTATCATCGTATTCATATAAATAATTTTATGGTCAAATTTGTAAGAACAAAATATAAATATCACAAACTATATGTCTATTATCTTATTCGAAGATTGCCACATCAAACCATGAATCTCACGTGAGAGATATTTCAATCTTTTTGAGCCACAATTAAATGAAAAGTATCTCTCTTTCTTCTCACGTGCGTGCATATTTGCCGTGCAATGATGTAAATTAGGTTCCTTGGAAAGCAAAGGATATTTTTTTAAATAATTAAAATATTATTCATGTTTCGTCTCATTAAATCTTAACTCAAATTCATCATAGTAGTTTTATAAACTAATAAATTTCACCATAATTTCAATCTAACTTCCATATTGATTGAGACCGTCAAGATTTTCTAACGTTTAAAAATGATAAATTACGATTACCACCCTAAGGTTTGATCTAATTATAAAAGAAATCCATTTGGTTTGAGAAATTATAATTATCCCCATGAGATTTGTGATTGTCTAACATCTCGTTACGACATTAGTAGTAATAGAATTCGTGATTTCATGGAACAATATTTTCAAAATTAAAGAAAATGCATAAATATTTTTTTGTTATTTATGAATTAGTTAATGCACTTTCGCTCCCCAAACTTTTTAATTTTGTACATTTTAGTCGACAAAAAAAAAATCTTATCTTAAATCACCCCGATATTTCAGCCGCCAAGAAAACTCCCTTGGGTCCGCCCCTACATGCAAAGGTGAAAGTTTGTTGAGACGAAAACGATTGAACCATTAGAGTTTTCGATAAACGACTGCTCCTTGATTAGTTGATATCATCTATCAAGGCTTTAATTAACTGAAGTATAGTTGAATTTTTTTTTTTAAATGTTTGATTAGTTCAATTTCCACTTTGGTTTATTAAGAAATTGTATATTTAACTTTCCCTAATCCAATTGTAAAACCGAATAATCATACAATTGGTTTAAGTACCACTTGTTATATTGTTATTGAATCTTCCAAAGCGTGCATTCAAGTCCAACCAATTCAAAATGTAAGTAAACAAATGACAATGAGGATTAATAGTGACATTACTATTAAATTAGTATCTAATTATATTTTTAATTATCCTAATTCCTAATTAGCATTGTATAGTTGGTGAACTGAACCAGTTCGAGTAAATATTATTAAGGAAATAATTATTAAAAAAAAAAACAACATTATAAACCAAATATCTGCTGCCAGAAAATGGTTCATTCACCAACCTCACCAATGTCAAATTCAGTTATATATATAGAAATTGAAGGAAAATAAAATCAGTTAATAATTTTATGAAATGGGTCCCATGGTGACAAATTTCTTTTGAAATAAGAAATTTACTCTTATATTACTCTTAATTGCGTCACGTTCAATTGAATATAATCTTATATATAAAAATAATTAGCGTTAGGTCAACCTAAAAAACACTTATGGCATCGTAATTTTTCAGATTTTGGTTTGTTGATATTAAAATATTATACGCATATATATGTTCATGTTTTTATTCGATTGTCAATTAGAAATATATATTTTTCTCTACAGAAAAGTAAAGCTGTGTATTTACCGTGCATCGCACAAGTATAGTACTAGTTCTTTTAATTTTTGTATCTCCTATTTTCCATCCTCAAATCAAATTTGCAAATCCACAAGCAAAATCCTATTCCACTCTAATTGTTTTTTTTTCAATCTTATATTTTTCAATCGGATTGTTACCATCACACGAATTTATCCCACGCAAATCAGATTTCCAAATCCGCAAGCAAAATTCAAATCCATTCCAATTCTTATTTTGTTTTTCTTTTATTTCTTTCTTTTCTATTTTTTTATCTCCTATTTGCCATTTTTTTTTTTCTAATGACGTTCATAGCAAATTGAATTTGCTAGCAAGAATTCTAATCCACTCGATTTTGCTTGTGTAAGTAATAACAATATATTTCTTCACTTGAATTTTTATTTAGTTATTCTAACTAGTTATTGGATACATATTAGGCCACTTGATTTTGTGATAGACTTGAAGAATTAGTATGTTGGAAGTATAATATATCAACCAACGTTTATTAGAAGAGTCGTATTTAGCCTCTACTATTAGAGTTAAGATATAGGGTTTGGATCATGTTCGTCCCCTACTTACTAATTTGTTACATAATTTGAATTTCTAAAAATATAAATAAGTAAAATAAAATAAATAAGTATCTAAAAAAAAGTATAATATATCAAATAATAATCTATCGTTTATTTATACACATCAACATGTATGTGAATATGTAAATAACGATGATATACCTCATGTAGTATGAAATATAAAGAAGGAGTTTTTATGCATAAGTCCACAACCAAACATATTTATTATTCTAGGTTTAGGAGTTATATCTCTTTCAATGAATATCCCAATATTACCCTCAACTATTTACATCCAATTCTTAATTGTAACCCCAATTTATCAATTTTGTCCACAAAAATCCAATTTTGACCACAAAAATTCGATTTTGACTTTTTTTGGACCATAATTTAATATGCTACAATTTCATCATTAACAAATCTCAATTTGACCCCAAATTTCACAAATTATTCAATTTTGACCCAAAAAATTTTTTTTCAAAATTTTTTTTTTGCCGCCGGATTTCGGGGTTGACTTTTCAAACTTTTTTTTTTCTTTCGGATTTTTTCGCCGGTCTCCGGCGGTGACTTTTTCGATTCTTTTTCTTTTCTTTTCTTTCTTTCTTTCTTTCTTTCTGTAACTTTTTTTTTTCTTTTCTTCCGAATTTTTTCGCCGGTTTCCGGCGTTGACTTTTTTTTAGTGTTTTTTTGAATTTTTTTTTGTTTTTTTTTGTTTTTGTTTTTCTACGTCCGCCGCTAAACGTTGACCGTAATTGTGCTGTCACTGACAGTAAATTAACGTAATTATACTGTCAGTGATAGTTAATTAACGTAATTGTACTGCCGTTGACATTACATTTATGTAATTGTGCTGCCGTTGACACTAAATTAATGTAATATTATTATTTTTTATTTTTTATTATTTTTTTTATTTTGTTTGATTTGTTGACAAGTCAACGTAATTATATTACTGTCGTTGACAGTAAAATAACTGTAAACACAATAATATTACTGTCAACAACATCAATATTATTATTTTTTTGGGGTTTTTGTTTTGTTTGAGTTATTCACGGAGTAACGTAATAATATTACTGTAAACACAATAATATTACTGTGGTTGACGGTAATATTACTGTTGTTATAGTAATATTGTTGTCAACCACATCAATATTATTATTTTGTTTGGATTTTTTGTTTGTTTGAGTTATCCACGGAGTAACGTAATAATATTACTGTCTATTATTGTAATATTACTGTGGTTGACGGTAATATTACTGTTGTTATAGTAATATCACTGTCACTCACAATATATTAATTCTTTTGGTTTTTTTTTTTATTATGTTTACATTTGTTGAACGGTCAACATAGTAATATTACTTTATTACACAATAATAATGAGTTTTGTTGTGTTAATATTAATGTGGTAGAGATTAATATAGCAATACTATTGTGTTAAACTATATTTTAGTTAATTTTACTGTGTTTAACAGTAATATAGTTAATATTACTGTCAATCACAGCAATATTGATGTTTTAACGGAAAAAAAAAGTTACAGAAAAAAAAAATCAAAAAAGTCAACGCCGGAATCCGGCGAATAAATCCGGAAGAAAGAAAAAAAAAGTTGAAAAGTCAACGCCGGAATCCGCCGGGAAGAAAAGTTTTTGAAATTTTTTTTTTTTTTAAAAAAAAGTTTTGGGTAAAAATTGAATAATTTGTGAAATTTGGGGTCAAATTGAAGTTAAATTAAGTTAAGGGTGAAATTGGAGCATATTAAAGTATGAGGGGTTATTTTAGTCCTTTACAAAAATCTGGACCATGTGTGAACTTATTGGTAATGGGGATTTTTGTCTGAATCTCTTTATGAATAAGTACCCATTA